AATAATAATAATAATAATAATAATAATAATAATAATAATATAACAACAACAACAGGTGGGTCATCATTTGACACAAAACATGCCAGATATCACTCTTGTCGAAAACCGAAACATACAATTTATTGATATCAGTCTACCAGGAGATGCCAGAGTTGAAGAAAAAGAACTGGAAAAAAAATCACGAAATATAGTGACCAGGCCATCGAAACTACATGATTATAGATGAAACAGGTAACAGTGATACCCACTGTCATTGGGGCACTTAGTACCATGTCAAAGAATTTTACAAAATACACCGAGAAATTGCAGCTTCCTGCAATAACACCAACAGAACTGCAAAAAAATTGTGCTACTCGGAACATCATATATTTTAAGAAGATACTTGGTTGATACCTAGGATGCTGGCAGCAACCTGTATCAATCATCAGCGCCAGTCATTGGTATTTGTGATACATTTTTAAATGTTCAGTTGACTGAGTTTCATGTTTAATGAATAAAAGAGATAATAGTAATAGCGATAGTAACAGTAATAATAATAGTGATTAAAGAAACAGGGTAATTGTTGTTTCTGAATCAGACTTTGGTCTAATCTGGCCCTGAATTAATTCACTTTGACATGTTGTGAAGGTGGTTTGTGAAATATATTCTTAACCCTCTTGCTCCCCTAACTGGAGAACTGTGCAAAACGTAGCTTAGCTCATTTCCCTTAATTTTCCCATATAGGCGCACTGCCACCTCGTGATGATACATGGAATAATTTTCAGCCCTACACTACCTATTTTTCAGTAGGAACAGGCTATATCAAAGTGCACTAAAATGGCTACGGTAGTTCAGTTTTTTGTGCTCCCATTACTAACTAGGGCCTAAGCAATTGATGTGAACCATTTCTAATTTTCCCTTCTGATATCAGGTTCTCTTTCACATTCTTAAGAAATAAAAATCCCTGAATACCCTTGCATATGACTATGGTCTTCAATATAATTGCTTAGATTTAAGGCTACAAATAAATTCATAGAAGACTACAGGTTCAAGGGTTAATTTTAACAATTTAAATTGTCTGTTCTGATATTTAAAGCAGTCAGAATTTAAACACCAACGATGATCTGATTATATAGCCTCTACCACCATCTTGTGGCTAGAAGTGGTTATATGTAGGGAAGTTGATATAAACTTCCCTACATCAGCTCAGGTTTAAATACATCTGACTCTAACACAAACCTAATTTGACTGTCAAACATATTCAATATAAAATACCCTTTTAGAAGTGTTCATTGCCCAACCATAAAATTGTTTTCATAGAAATATGGAAAATATCAAGTCAGACAATTAATCTATTCAGTCTAATATTCTTTTTAACCTCATGTGCTCCATACATATTGAAAACACAATTCCCAGAATTACCAGCAAGCAGCTATAATTCAATTACAATAGGGAGTAGCCATTTGAAAAGTCTGGTGTACTCAGAACGCAGTGACTCTCTTACCATGAGGCAAACCACCTTTCACCTACAAACTGAGATTGTTTTAGCCAAGATACCAATCTTGGGATCTTGGCTAGGATCTTCTGCATAAAAAGGCAGAAAACTCCTGAGCCACAGACCTCCCAAATAAATGCATAGTGATAATGTACATAGAGTCAATGGATTAAAATATAATGTGCGTTCTTCCAATTGTTCAATTGATAGAAAATCATGGCAGGTGCTTCTCTGGCTTACAGGCTTGTGAGAAGTCATATTCTTAGAGCTTTACTACAGAACAATGTAATGGCAGAGTTGGTTGATTTGCATGACTTCCTTTCTCACATAGTATCACCCAGTTTGTCAGAAGAACAACAACCTTCTACAATAACAGAATGAGACAGTTGGAAGGGACCTTGGAGGTCTTCTAGTCCAACCCCCTGCCCAAGCAGAAACTCTATACCAAGGGTCTTCAAACTTGGCAAGTTTAAGACTTGTGGACTTCAACTCCCAGAATTCCTGAGCTAACATGACTAGAGGTGGAATTCTGGGAGTTGAAGTCCACAAGTCTTAAAGCTATCAAGTTTGAAGACCCCTGCCCTATACCATTGCAGACAAATGATTGCCCAATCTCTTCTTTAAAACTTCCAGTGTTGGAGCATTCACACCCTCTGGAGGCAAGTTGTTCCACTGATTAATTGTTCTGTCAGGAAATTTCTCCTTACTTCTAGATTGCTTCTATGCTTCTACCCTCTCTTCTTGTGTGGAAAGTTTGGGCTTGTGCAAAGATGTGAGAGTTTTATTCATATCCATATTGTGCAGAAGACAGGTTGCCAGTGCTATGGTGTTTAGCATTGGTAAACTATTACTGGAGCTATTGCTGAACACAAGTCTACTAATCTTCTGGAAATCTGTCAGACTTGTATCGAAAGTTAATCGAGCTGACAGATATATGAGGTAGAGGAGAGAGCTAACATTTCATCCTGGCCCATCCCATTTGTAGGTGAGATTTACTCATCTTTTAGTCACTCGATTTAGCAAGGGGATACTAGCAAAACTTTGTCATTTTTATCCCAGTTCCCAATTAAAATAGCAAGAAAATGGCAGCAAATGGCTGTAATCAGCAGTACGTAGATGCACTCCACAGAATATACAACATTGTGATAGAGTAGGGGAATTGCCTCCTTCCCAAAGTAACAAAAATAGCAGAAAGCAGAACCGTGCAAAACTCCTTGTTGGCAGAAGAAACAGAAAATCGGCAAACCCTCGTTTGGAACATTTTTCCCAGTTTTTTTGTTTTAAAAAAACACTAGCAGCTTTTTTTTCCCAGGCAAGACAAGGCAATTGGTTTTTGAAGACAATTGTTTTAAACAATTTATTTTTAAAGAGAGAAATAAAAAATAATCATACTGTGCATCACCAACAGACTAAAAAAATTTAATGAAGAAAGAAAACCTAAACCATGCTGCAGTGACTAAAATTAACTAAATATGACAAAATAGAAAGAAAAAAATGAATGACTGAAAAAAGATCCATATAATTACTATAAATAATAACATAAAATTAATTCTTAAACTGATCATTAAATCTAGACAATGAAGCAATATCCTGTGTCACCTTCTCATTTTTAGAATTGCAGACTTTTCAAAAACAGTCTCGTATCCTGCAGCTTAAAATCAGGAGAGTAAATTACTTTCCAAATATGTAAAATAATCCTCTTTGCCAAAGCTTTTCATGAAATAATAAAATCTGTTTTAGGAATATAGTTCAGAATGTAATGATGTTCTTAACTATAATATCTTTCCCCATAATTATAGCAACATATATATATAGTAATATGAAGGCAAAACAAAGATATAAGTGGATAACACCAAATCATTGATTTTCAAATTTCTCGTAACACCAACGTAAAAATTTAATGTTCATCCCTTTTAAGCATTTTAGTGTGTCTAATAAACAGGAAATAGTATTTTCTGATTATTTCATTTCATTTTTAAATCATATTTTATATTTCTTAATACATGGATCCATTGATTCCCCAAAAATAGATATTCTAATGCTTCATGATTCAGATTATGCAGATAGTCCTCCACTAATGACTACAACTGAGTCCAAAATTTCTGTTGCCAGGCTAGATAATTGTTTAGTGAATTTTTTGCCACAGTTGTTAAGTGAATCTGGCTTCCCCTTGACCTCAGAAGGTCATAAAAGATGATCACATGACCCCAGGATACTGCAACCGTCATAACTATAAGTCAGTGTCCAAGGGTCTGGTTTTTGATCATGTGAGCTTGATGCTGCTGCAAGGGTAGTTAAATGTGAAAAACAATCATTAGTCACTTTTTTCAGTGCATTGTAACTTCAAATGGTCACTAAATGAGTGGTTTAATTTTGAGGACTACCTGTACTAATACAGAACCAAAGAAGACACATTATGATGCATTGTGTTTTTAATTGAGAAATTTAATTTAATTTAATAAAATTTAAGGACTTCAAATAATTCAAAAAGTCACAATCAACAGATATCTAGGCAAAAAAAATGAAAGGCTCATTTATTTGCAGGCCAATTAAAAAAAAAACTCATCCAGAGCTTCTAATTCCCTTCCCCTCTTTCTCATCATCAACATCTCATTGTGCCGCCAACACTGCTATAGGAAAGGCAGCATCATTCAATGTTGGCGCCCCACCTCCTGCACACGGGATGACACCACTTTGCCATCCGCCAGTTCTTCAAGGACAGTCTTCACCCATCGGCTTACAGAAGGTTCTGCAAGGAGTGACAGAAGGCACTGGTATCAGGGATGGAGCGAAGAGAAAGACAGCATGGAATATCTAAGGTGTTAGGGAATGGATAAACCACAAAAGGGCACCTTTCCGGACTGTGATTATATACACAAATACGAACCAGAGCTGTCAACTGATATTTCAGCTAAATAATTGTTTTATTTACTCATATTTCACATTTTTGAACAACCCATCTTCCTCAGAGAGATAGTGTTTTATACCTTTTTTTATACCTGTTATGTCTTCAATTGCGATTTTGAAATGAATGTTACATATTATATTAGAGCCCTGGTGGTGCAGTGGTTAGAATGCAGTATTGCAGGCTAATTCTGCTGACTGCCGGTTGCCAGCAGTTCAGCAGTTCGATTGTCACCGGATCAAGGTTGGACTCACTCAGCCTTCCATCTTTCCAAGATCAATAAAATGAGGAGCCAGATTGTTGAGGGCAATATGCTGACTCTGTAAACTGCTTAGAGAGGGCTGTAAAGCATTGTGAAGCGGTATATAAGTCTAAGTGCTATTGCTATTAAGAATCACACTTTGTACAAGGTTTGCTTTATACCACTTCAATCTTGTTTAATTTAAACATAGTATATCACATCTTTATTTTATCAGAGAGACTTAACCTTTACTGGAACCAGTTCTATTCTAAATATTCACCATCTAAAGCCACCATAATCATCCTATTGAATTTACCCATTGTTAATTCTGTATTCTCAACACAGTTGAGTTCTGTTTTCCACAAAATCTATATATCTATACATGCTGCTGAGCCCCCAACTTTTTCCATACAGCTGTCAATCCATATTTATGATAGGAGGCTGCAAAAACTACATAGTACAAGTAATAGGTGATAGACATTACCAACTATCCATTTGCTGGACATTACACTAGGGGCACATATGCAGATCTCCACTTTAGCCATTCACTGAAGTTCTTTTGAGAATCCAGTCCACTGTGATTTATTCATGTTCAGATTGTCTTTAGAAGAAATTTTCTCTAGTTAAACTGTAAAGAATCCCTTATTATTTCATTGAATGAACCACTTCCTCAACATATAATCTGTATCAAAGATAGATACAAATATTTTGCTATATCCCTGACTATTTCTGACTATTTGTTATTTAAACACATCATCTTCAATAATAATAATAATAATAACAATAACAATCATAATATCATCTTCTCATCTAAATTAGGGAAAAGGAATTTTAGTCAATAATTGATAGACTTAAAGTAAAAAGAAAATGTAGACAGTGGTAGTAGCACTCCCAAAAAAATTGTCATCAAAATTATTTAATTCTATATCCATGTCTTTTACACCCGGTTCTCCTAAAAAATTTTTTAAAAAATCCTACAAATTGAAATCTGTTACTTTTATGAGGATCTAGTAAAATAAAATAGCCCTAACTTTTGGCAAAGATGCCAAAGTGGTTCTATGATGGTCAAAGACAATATGATAATGATAGAAAAGTTTTATCATTAGGTAGTCTTTGGAGATTATATCCCACAGTTAAAATTACCCCATTATAATGTCTTTGAAGACTGACACAGCATGGGATGCTTTATTTATGTCCCATACTGCTTTTTCCACCAGTGGTTTAAGAATGTGTTTGATTACTCCACATATATCATACGTACTAATTTTTACCACTCAAGTATATTCCAATTTAGTCTCCTTTCAAAGATGGTGCCTGCCTTGCACAACATTGGGAATGGAACCATGATCCATGCAACATGTGTTCATATTGCAGTTCATCAAACAAATATCGTATCTATAATAGCAATAGCACTTAGACTTATATACTGCTTCACAGCCCTCTATAAGCAGTTTACAGAGTCAGAATATTGCCCCCAACAATCTGGGTCCTCATTTTACCAACCTCAGAAGGGTAGAAGGCTTAGTTAGCCGAATTATCTTGCAATACTGCATTTTAACCACTGCACCACTATAGCTAATAATCATCACTAGCAAATAATCATGGTGAATGGAATTTTATGTCAATGCTGAGATCTTTATAGGATTCTTTCTTTAGGAGACATGATAATTAAGTAAGACTGAAACTAATTTAAATTTAGAATGAAAGTATGCCCTCTGCAGGATCTGCTAAAGATGACTTGAACATAACAACGCCCAGTAAAAAAAATCATTGTTATAATACTCAATAAAACTGCTAAAAGTTGAAGTCCAACACACCTGGAGGACACCAACTTAAGGAATGCTGTGACAAAGTCTGAGAACTGCTGATGTGCAAACTGAAAGTATAACTTGCATCATTCACCATGGTAACTGGGTTTCATGGAACTTGAATACAACTTTGGAAGACCATAGGTTTCCTGCCACGGGTTAAGGAGTGGTAAACCACTGCAAGACTCATTCCACTCTAGAAAAGATTCAGTGACTAAATAAAGTTTTCTTGTTAACAGTTTTCTTGTTATAGATCTGCATAAGAATCTCTGTCTAAAATTGCTGCACAATTATGAACTGATTTTCATTTTGTGTGCATGAATGTATATTCCCTATAGAGCAACCTCAATATCAAATTATTTAGCATACCTGGAGAAGTTGGTGGTTCAGATTCAGACCTAAAAAAAAAAAAAAAGAACTCCAGATCTGTAAGCAAGATTCTGGTTACCAAATTCCCTAATAAAGAGTCTGTGTATAATGTTCAGTTCCTACTTGAACCCCATCCATTTCCCAAAGGAATGGCTCATGCCAGCTTAGTATTTTGGGAATTGCAGTCTCAATACAAGTATAATGTTCCAAGCTAGAAAAAGTTGGTTTACAATCAAATTACAGTTAATAACAGTCTTTTCACAGGATAACTCTAGTAAACTTGGGGGGGGGGCTTTAGCCCCTAGGCAATATTATTATTTATACACACACATACACACATGCAATATTTTGTTTATTAGCAAAAATAATACTGAATGTAAAAAAAAGGCCAGGAATGAATGTACCAAAATCAAGCCACAGTTCTACAATCTTACAGATCATAGGAGTATTAGTCACGTTCAAGCAAACTTGTGAGAGAGCCAGCCACTCAGAAAAATGAAAGGCACCTGTGCTATTCTTGGCTTTTCTCTTTAGGCCCTCCCACCAGCAGCAGCACCAGCCTATAAAAGCTGTGCTGCGAAAGAGCTGACGATACATGTGGGGGGGGGGGAGAAGAGAAGGAGGAGTGTTTGTGTGTGGAAGTAAAGCAACCTAAAGCAGTCAGAAAAGAATTTTATTCTCTAGCCGCCTGCACAAATAGGAACAGCAGGAACTACAATAGCAGAAGGAAGAGTAGCAGTGGGAAAGGATGAAGATGAGTAGTGAATAATAGTATATGAGTGCTTGTATGTGTTGTCTAGGGACCTGCGTTGTGGCCTAGTCTTTTGATGTTTGAGCCAGACAAACTAAGTATAGATTAAAAGAATTTGTCACAGGGGTGATAAAAGTGGAATATCCCAAACAAATGAGATATCCAACATAAGATGGTATCTGCAGGGATGAAATTGGCTCAAACTCAAGAAGTTCATTAAGTACTTTGTATCAAAAGAAAACAAACCTTAACTACAAAAGCAAAAAGAGTTTGGCCCTTTCAGACATAGGACTTTGCAAATAATAACTAACATCCTGACTTCAGAAACAAGAGTCTTCACAAGAGTCTACACTAAACAGAGATGGGGGAAAAAATAAACCAGCAATATTCTACCTTAGACACAGAAGAGGCTACTGCTTTGTTAGAGGCAGGTATCTACTTCATGTAATTAAGCAAAGAAAAAGGTAGACCAGCCAGAAAAAGAGCTAGGCTCAGATATTTGAAGCAACAGAAAGGGGAAACGTTTGTTAATTTAAAAAAGAGAAAGAAGAGCAGCTTTGGAGTGAGAAAGAGGAAAAGTAGCAAAAAGAGGGAAGAGTGAGGGCAAGAAAAGAATTTAAGGATCTCATAAACTTAAAGGAGTACAATCACTAGAAGGGACATATTCACATCTAGGATTTTCAGAACATGTTGAGAGGGAAGGTGGTTCCAAAGATATAAAAATCCCTAACTTAACAGAGGAAGAAGATATAGAAGCCTGTATTACTATATTTTGCTTTGAAAGAGTTGCTACCTCTTGTAAATGAGAATGAAACTGAGATTGACCTGAGAGTGAACAGGTGGCCAGATTAGCCCCATATTTAACAGGAAAAGTTATAAAAGCCTAGAATGGTCTTTCAGCTACTGAAGTAATGGATTATTATTATTATATTAAAGAGATAATTCAATACAGATGCAATGTAACTCCTTATAGGCAGAGATTTAGGAGCTACACATATGACAAACAAAAAGGATTTGTGAATTGTGAGCAAGATTGGAAGAAAATGTATGAGGCCAGATAAAAGATGCAAAGAATAAAATGGTAACAGAAGTTGTTTTAGCATGCAAGGCCCATATTGTCTGGCATTTTATTTTATTTTTATTTATTAGCTATCCTGCCTTTTTCCACAAGCTTGAGGCTTGCATTGCATATAACATTTCCTCTATCAGCTTTTCCCACAAAAATAATTCTCCAGTGGCAGCTGGACTGAACAATATGATAATTCAAAACTACCCACTGGGTTTCCATGGCTGAGAGGTGATCTTGAAGCTGGTTTTTCCCAATCCTGGTTCAACAATTTAACCACATTATCTGGCATTCTAATCTTACAGTAACCAACCAGATTTCATGGGGAAGCTCAGAAAAACCATATTTTCCAATTTAATTTGTCCAGCCACTGATACATTGAGGACTATACTTGAGACAATCTAATTATCATTACTAGTAGCCATTGATACCTTACTTTCCAGGAATTTATTTGAAGTCATAACTATTATCAAGCTGTGTTGCCTCCAGTTGTTTGGTCTTTTAAAAAAATCTAAAAAGTCTCTCAAACTTAACAGTTCTTCTTCATAGGGGACTTGATCCAGCCTATGATTACTCTGGAAGCTTTATTTATATATTTTTAATTTAATTGTGTATTTATTAAAACATCTGACTAGTAGTGAACTACCTAGAATCTAAGGATGGTTTAGAAAATAGACAAATAATGCAACGATTAAATATATTATTTTAAAAACTTAAACAAAAATATGTTCCATCATTTCCAGCTTAGAAGTTTCTTTCCAAGTTGCATTCCACATGGGTTCATATAGTAAATTTATACAACATATACACTAAAGGACTTTAATACCAAGTGGTGACTACTGGCTGGAGATAGGCAAAGATATTTTTCTGTTCCATGCCACATTCAGCCAACTAGTCTTCCTCTGGGAAATTCTATTTCACTCCTCTCACTCGCCACCAGGTTTCCATTCTTCAACTGTCAACCAGCAATCCATGGCTGTCAGTGAATGGAGGAAGAAATCTCTCTTAGAGATCATTTGTTTAAAAATAAATTCTTTGTATTCATTCAATTTTTTCCAAACCTCCCGATATTTCCCAGTTGAGTGCAAATGTTGCTTGTTTATATATATAAATATCAGCACTTGCCTCCCCTACATCTAAATTGTAGGAATAGAAATAAATGGATCAACAAGCTGGACAGATGGCAGCAATCTTCCCTACTCCTTACCCTTCAAGAAGGCATTGGTAGGTTGCTATCTCCTGTTCCAGTCTGTTTTTAATATCCATCAGTCGCTTGTAATCCTCAGCTTGGTTCTGAGCATCTGACTTCAATTGCAGAAGCTCTGCCTCCCGGGCAGCCACAAGATTACGTAACTGTGACAACTTCAACCCATAATGGGATTCCACCTCGGCCAGGGTCCCCTCAAGGGCTCCTTTCTAGGAACAAAGAAAAAAAATTGTTTTTGTTTTTCTGAAGACGCTAAGTCTAACGATGCTTTGCAGGGCCCAGGAGAAGCAGAGGATAGATGGAGAGAATAGAAGCTTGAGTCCAGTTTGCAAACGTGACTTGCCTTCAAGGAGATATCATAGGAGCCCTACACAAATGTTTCATTGAGGATACCAGCTAATGGTGCCCAAAGTAACCTGTCTTCGATTGTTTTTAATAAAATAATTTGGAAAGTTGCCTATTACAAGGAAAGTATCTTGTACATAATCTTTATTTAAAGGAAGATTTCAAGGCATTCTTAAAATATAAAAACAGGAAGCCTGACAGTCTCGTGCTTGGAGAAATGACAGGCAGCATCTTAGAAGAGATAGTGAACATTTTCATAACCTGCTCTAAAACTTCCAAATAGGTCCATCGGTCCCCAATATTGAGTCATCCCTTCTTTGCGCCATGAGAGAAACAAGTTTATATTAATTTTTAGGACAGTAAAACACCTTCTGCATTTGAGCTTTTAGCATCTAATCCACAAATTTGAAAATATCTGGAACTGACCATGCTCCAAAGAGACTGCAGCTCAATCTCCAAAGCCTGGGCCAGCCGTTTCAACTCCACCGTCTTCATCTGAGCATTCTGTAGAGCCTCATTGCTGACAGAAACCTCCTGATTGAGTGCATCACACTGTGAAAGGGAGGAGAAGTTACACAATAGATATTCTGACCATATTATAAAATGAGTCAGATTAAATTCTCTACTAAGGTCATTCATCTTTTGAGGCAATCTGTCCAACATTTTTATGGTTTAAATAATCCAGCCTAATGCAGATGAATGCTGTGCTTGTTTATGATATCATTAGTTTGGCTTCTCTTGGCTATGAAGCAGCACAAGAAGTAAATGCAGAGCATTGATTGCAAGACTTTTAATTCTGCTGCCATTTATTGCCAATTTGTCCCTTAGCTGGTTTCTGAGATTTCATAAGTCTTATTACTGCCCAAAAATGTTTGAAGCCTAATCATAACAGAAACATGGAGTTTTTGTAGTTTGAATGAAAATATTTTTGAATATTCTGGCAATGTGGAATGGGAGATGAAACAGCTCTTCTTGGAAGCTGCATGTAAAATATTTGTCTTTTTAAAAAAAGAATAATATATACGGCTTGGGTCTCTCAAGGTTATTTCCCTCCTTGTCAACTTAGGTTGGTACTTCTGCCCAAATGTATCACTGAAATGCACCTGAATTGGTATCTGTACTGGATACAATCTTCACCATCATTATCATCATCACCCCCTCATCCTGTATTCCTTCCTTTAAAAAGAAATAGATACTTGGAATCTGAGTGACTAGAAGTATTACAAACAAGGGTATACGGGCTCTTCATGTTGTCCAGGCCATTATCATGACCTGCTGATGCCTGAAGCAAGATAGCATAGCTTCTGCTTCCATTCCATATACCTAAACACAGACAGTGTTTGGGCAATGAGACCACGTTTTTAGTTATACCTGAAGGAAACAGATCAAATAGGGTGTGAGGTGGAAAGTATTCTGGAGTCCCAGGCGGGACAAGCTCTTTCCCAGACAGCAGAGCTTTCAGAAAAGAAGAGGGCAAGCATAGATTCTCCCTAGCAATTCACAGAATATATCTATAGTTGTGCAGAGTATTGCTTTAGTCTGCCAAGATTCTATAAGTGAACAGCAATAAACTTTTTAGAAGTTGTTCCATGCGCTATACAGATATCAGTTGGACCATTAATTACATAGCACACAGCAGTATCATCCAAAATCTCATTGCTACTCCTTGCATCTTACATCAGAGAAAATTGCGCGTGCATTTTAAGCATAAACATATATGCTTAAGATAAAAAACAGAAACTTGTATTTTCCCTTATTTCTATCAACCATATCCTCTTTCTCTGAGGACACATTTTATGGTGTAAAAGTAGCAACACAAAAAGGGGGAAATGAAAGTTTTTAGGGTAAAGGCCTACAAGTGGTACAAATAAAAAATCTTTACTATATCAAAGAAGGGAAATACTTGAGAATAGCTTGTTACTATGACATGAGAATTCAGTCAAAACAAATTTCTTCTAATTTTTACACCATGCTCTTTCTAGCTCCTACAGAGGTATATAAGCTGACATAATGTTTGTATCCTTCCTCTTCTGAAAGGGGAGAGGCATTTTAGTATTTTGCTTTGCCAAACATCTCCTCACCTGGGATTGGTGCAAAGCTTCAGCTTCCTGGCGGTTCTTCTCTATGACATCCTCATACTGGTCGCGGATCTCACTCAGGGTTTTTTGTAAATCAATGCCAGGCATGGAGTCAACCTCCACATTGACAGTGCCCCCCAGATGCGCCTGGAGAGGAGCCATCTCCTACGGAGTGAAAAAAAAGAGCTCAGAATGGATTAGTTCATATGTATTGGAAACCAGCAAAATTTCATCAGGGAAGGAACTGGATGGCCATGGATAGCAACCAGCAATGTCACAATAAAATATTAATTACATGAAATCAAATTAAATTGTCATAGGTGGGCCCTGGAAAAAAAAATGTTGCATTTGGGAAATTAAGCGGTGCAACAGCCTGATTCCTAGCTCCTGCTTCTTCACTGAAGGGTTTCAAAGACTGGATATTGTGAAGGAATATGCATTCTCTCCCTCCTGAGAATCTAGATCACATTCTATCCGATAGTCATTTGTCTGGGAGGGTTTAAGGCTTGCTGCCCTGGAGGGAGGGTTGGATTAGAAAACTTCTAAGATCCTTCCAACGCTAGGATTCTATGATTCTGTGATTCTACAAAACAATTGTGAGAGCATTCAGTCAACATGCCTTGTTTTATGCTTAATTTTATTTAAAATAGGAAGGTAAGCAAGGAACTGAAACCAAAGCAAGCAAAACAAAATAGAAAGAAAAATCAGGATTATACAGAGGTTTTAAAGCATTTTGAATTTGATTCCAAGATGCTTCAGAAACTGGGGAGGAGAGAGGCACAAACAGCAGTCTGGAATGTTTTAAAGGACTGCTTCTTTTTCCTGGATCATGAAATTGACTCCAGCTACCACATGTAACTGAAATATAAACTACAGTATGTAATGCAGCTATGGGCTTCTTCACATTGCATACTTAAGCTACAAAACTTCTATGCCTATACCATCTGGAAATGAAACTGATTGTCAGATCTGCCACATACTAGACATGTATGAAAGAAAGACCCTTAACTTCATTTGGTTTAAGTGATAGGTTCTTCTACTAAAGACAAGCAGTCGTAGTGAAAATAAAGCTAGATCTGAATATTCCCACACTAAGATTGTGTTATTCGCCTTTCCTTGTCCCTCTTCAACAATGCCCAATAGTATTCCATGTTGACGTTTTGGGAACCACTTTGATGCTTCGCACCTCACAGTGTAGGTGTCCTTGGCAGCTGGCCTATTCCAGTTTGACACTTCTGATTCTTGTCAACTTATCTCCCCTTCCCCCACCACTTCCATTTGTCTTCCTCATCTCAGCCTGAACCCAAATTTCTTCTCCTCCCCCACTCCCCGTTTATGGCAGGATGTCGGTAAAGCAAAGAAGCTGAAGATGGCAGAGCTGACGTTCTGCCCTCCTTAACAGGGACATCAATCCTACAGGAAAGGGGCAAAAAAAACATAAAACAATTGGTTTGTTTTCTTTTCTTTTTAATAATTTTATTAGGTATAATCTTTAAAAACATTGAACATGGTGGACTTCTTTGACATACATTTTTGTCGTTACATATTGTATTAAGTACTCTAGAAGGATTTTGTACATTTATATACATATATACATTTAATCTTCATACTTTTTAATTCCTTTCTATTATCTTTCAGGGAAATCATATAAACTCTTATATCCTTCCTACTTCTCCTTTAGTCCTTATTCCATTTTGTGAATTCCCTTTCATTTCCCTCCAGTGGTAAAATGTATTCCATATTATATAGTATTCTAACTCATCTTTATCCTTCAATTCCAATGGAATTCCTTCAATTCCATTTCAGCGCATTGTAGTATCTAATCTATCACCCCGTCTTCCCTAGGGATTTCTCTAGCTTTCCAATTTTGGGGCAAACATCATTCTTGCCACCATGATTACATGGATTATTAGATAGGTATCAGCCTTACTATACTTCTCTGCCATGATTCCCAATAAGAACAACTCAGGTTTAGATTATTTTTAGCCCCATCATTTCCTCTAACCACAAATAGTCTGACATGGCACAACGCGTGGTGTCACGGCTCCAGCATGCCTTGAAGACATGACACATGGTTTCCCCTTTAAAGTTTATCTACAATTTCAGAAAAAGCAAAGGGACATATAGTCGACTCATTTAATCCTAAACTTTGATGTTGACCATTTCAGCTCTCCTTCTATATCATTTCATTTATTTCAATATATTTAAAGCACATATTCTATTAATTATTTCATTAATATTTAAAAAGAGAGAGAAACTAATTCCATATATTTATTGCATTTATCTCTTATACATAAAGGAAAAGAGCATTACCAAAAAATAACAATTCCATTTTCCATCTTATCAATCTATATGTCCCTACTTCACAACTACAAATTTATTTATGTTATTCCCTAGCACCTTACAGAATCCCCCCTCTAAATATCATTCAGCCATTATCTCTGTGTCTAGTTAAGCAATTTTTTTAAAATTTCCATATTTCTTTGTCCCCAAATCCTGTTTCTTTTCCCTTCTTTCCCCTAGCATTTCCCCCTTTTTTATTTCACTCCAGTTTTTAACCCCCTCTCTATTTATAACTCCATTCCGCCCTTCAAATTTCTGCTGATTCTTTTCTTCTTTATTAATTTTCTGGATGTTTTCCTCTTTATTCAATTTCTCAAACCTCCGGTATTTATTTCCAACTATTTTCTCTTTCTTTCCAAATTCCTTTGTTTTCGGTGGTAGTTAAAATAGGCCCCTTCTAAGATTAGCTCCTCCTCCTCTTCTGTCCTTTGCCTTTGTTGTTCATACTCTGCAATCACCTCTTCAAAAAGTTTAAAAACAAAGCCCAAAGTTTCACCTTTTTCTTGTAGAGTTTCTTTCATGTTTCTAAGTTCCATTTTTAATGTCTGAAGAGATATCGCCATTTTGCAGTTTTCTAATTAGTCCAAATAGTATCTTTAAAATTAATTTCCAACATTCCGCTTTTGTTTTCTTCCTCTCAAGTTTTAATCCTCAACTAATCCGATGCCAAGTCCATATCAGAATCAACAATTAATCCAAGGGCAGAATATTCATGTATCTTTCTTTGCTTCAGTGTTTCAATTTTTCAAAGTTCTTGTTTTATTGTATCAATTTTCCTTGTATTTTTAAAAAACAGAGTCTTTTAAAAGAAAACAAGTTAAATTCAACTCAGATGGCATTCTTTGTTCTAAGAAATCCACACCTCCTCTTTTCTTTTCCTTCCCTATTATTCAGAGCTTTTTAAACCACAATCTCCCAAAAAGATCAAATCCAATTGATATAAATTTTCTCTTTAACAATCTATAGTTCCTCTCCCCTGAGAGATACTGCAAAGTGAAATTGAAGCAGTTGAAGTATTGAGCCCAACAGACCTGTTTCAGGGACAGCCTTCTGAGAGTTCTTAATACTTCCAGAGTTTTGTGGTCTGTCCACACCTCGAAAGGAGTTTTACTCCCCCCCTAAAGATGTCTCCATGTTAAGAGTTCCCAGCATACTGCATAGGCTTCCTTTTCTCACAGTGCCCATCTCCACTCTATCTCGGTCAGTTTCTTGGACATGTGAGCTAATGGCTGCAGGACTCCTTGGTCATTTTTCTCCAGCAATACTGTACCTATTGCCAGATCACTAGCATCCGTTTGGGTGACAAAGGGTGTATTCAGGTCTGGGTGCTATAGCACAGGCTCAACTATGAACAAGTGCTTGAGTTTTTCAAACACTGTTTGGAATTCCATTGTCCACTTTAGCGGTTGGCTAGATTTAGATTTCCCTTCCCCTTTGGTTTTCAAAAGATAAGTGATGGGCAATACTATTTGGGGTGAAGGATGAGATGAATTGGCAGTAAAAATTTGTGAATCCCAGGAAACTACTATTGCTTTTGCCCATTCTAAAACAGTTTGCACCTCTATCTCTATCCCCTCATGGGAGATCCAATATCCCAAACAGTCAATTTTACTCTTCTGGAATTCACACTTAGAAAGTTTAGCATACACTTGGATGGCATGAAGTTTTTTGAGCACTGTTCCAACTAGTTTCATATGTTCCACCATGGTTTCAGTGTAGATAAGAATGTTTTCTAGGTAAACTAGGATTCTTTTATATAGGTGCTCATGCAGGATCTCATTAATCAGCTGCATGAAGATGGCAGGGGCTCCCAGTCCAAATGGGAATACTCGGAATTGAAAGCAACCTAAAGGACAATTAAACATGATTTTCCATTTGTCCCCCTCTTTAATCCTTATGCAGTAGTACACCTCTTTCAAATCCAGTTAAGTAAAAAAAAATTCCCTTTTGCCAAGTGGGCCAGCATCTCTTTCATTAAAGCTAGGGGATAGACATTCTCAACCCACATTGTATTTAGCCCGCAATAATTCATGCATAGATGAAGTGACCCATTTTTCTTTTCCTGGAAAGTGGGGTGTTCGCTTGGGGTTTGGCCAGTTGAATGAACCCCCACTGCAAGTTTTTGTCTATGAATAGCTCCTCAGGTTTTCTCAAGGCCATTGAATACAGTTCAGGCTTAGAAGGTTTGGCCCACAGCAATATTTCTATGGAGCAGTGCATGGGATGATGAGGAAGGAATGCATGCATTCTTTGGGGATTCAGGAGTGCACTTTGGAGTGGCCCCACATCATACTCTCAATTTCCCTCTTTGCCTTCCCACCAAACTGTAAGATTGTGTTTGGCCAGTTTTCTTTTGGGGTTCCTGGAGATATCTTTCGCTGAATCTTTAATATCCTTCTCCTCCAATTTACATAGAAGTTTCATTTAGGAGCCACACCAATTCTAATATGAGGGGTGTCCATGCCTGGTGCCACAATAAATCTTAGGATTTCTTTATGGGACCCAATCCTCATCTCTATCAGTTCAATAACAAATGTTGCATGCCTTCCCTGCTACTGACTGTACAGCTGGCAGAAAGCCACAGGTACTTTAGGTTCCTTGAGTCGCAGACCCAGTTTCTCAATTAAGCCAGGGCTGACTGAGTCCAGGAGGACAACCAGGGTCCCCTTATATCCCAAGGAAGACACCATCAGTTCTATTGGGATAATCATGGGTATCATAGGGTGACTTACCAAGGGGTGTCATCTGTGTCAGTGTCACTTTCCACCAGGCTGCTGGTTGATGTTGCTATTGCCAAGTGATGGGGTGAATTCAATGACCTCCTCTCTTTCTAGAGCCATCTCCAAAGTCCTCAGGGTTGCTTTTCCCATTTTCTTTGAGAATCTAGGGGTGGCCTTTTGAGTTGGGGTGGCCTCTTACATTGGGTGTGATGATCAGTAGTCAGCTGCTTGGTGCCTCTCTTGGTGAGTAGTGTGATGATCAGTAGTCAGCTGCTTGGTGCCTCTCTCTCTGCATTTGAAGCATCCAGGAACAGTGATGTAGGCTTGGGCCCCTCCCCCAAGCTTTGGGGTTTTCTTCTTCTCTGCTGGGAGGAACCTCCACCACCCATGGTTGGGGAAATTGTGAGATCAGACTAGGTTGATTTCAACTTCTTTGGCTTACCATCCATGGAGAACAGCCCTGGAGATGTAGGTATTATAGAAGTCATCATTCAGCCCATCTTGGAAGAGCTCTATCAGCATGTCTTGTGCCCAAGCGATTAGTCTGCATGCCAGGCTCTAAAATTCTTGGGTGTAGGCAGTCACAGGTTTGGCCTTGGATTATTACAGTTTGACACCTCTTGTTCTTACCAGCTTTTTCTTTCCCTTCCCAGCCCAAGCTTAACTTCCCCATTCCTCTACCACCGCCACACTTTTCAATTTATGACAGGATGCCAGTGAAGCAAAGAAGCTGAAGGTGCAGACCTGACAAAGGCTTAAAAAGTCCCCTTCCCAAGTTCATTGCTTTCTTCTACTTGTGGCCAGCATGGTCTGATGTTCTGTCCAGATCACATTTACTATGGCCCCTAATTGCTGGATTCCTCTTCTTCTTTACCCCTCCTAGATCAATACAACATCACATTATTTTCCCCATCACTTGGACTAGAAAAGGAAAGTGATAGTCTCGTCAATTTCAGTTAAAAAGGGAAAAAAGACACATGAAGAGTTTCACAATTCTATCCATGAAATTGTTCAAAAAGAGTGTTCATTCTTACCTGAAACGCATCTTCTAGTTGTACAGGAGGAGAATCCAAAGCGTGGGTAGTCTCTGCTTCTTTGCTTGAAGACTGAGTCAATCAAAACTTAGTCCTGTCTCCTTCCACTACGCATGCTCAGTTTTTGATGAAGGCTGATGATTGACTTGGAGATTTCTTGGTGCTCTTTCTTGACTGTTCTGTGCTCGGGACTGACCTTACTTGGGTGGGTTTAAATTCTCCTCCTGTACATTTCATGTAAGAACCAATGCTCTTTCTCAGTTGTATGGGTCAGAGAATCCAAAGCGTGAGACGTACCCAAACTAGTTGTCCTAAGGGTGGGCTATATCCTGGTCACGAGCTTCTACCTCCGTGTGAACTTTTTGTATTACTCTCATTCCAAATTCGCATTTTTGTATTACTCTCATTTCAAATTCGCATCTCCGCTGATGCGAAAGTATCCAGCTTATAGTTCCTGATGAATGGAGATGGTGATGCCCACATTGCTGCTCCTGGTCAAGTGTGCCATTATTTTACCCAGCAGTTGTAATGACTGGCTTTCGTAAGCCTTTGTATTACATGTTCTGATCCACCTGCCTATGGTGGATGGTGAAACCTTTTGGCCTAAAGAACTTGGTTTAAACAAGATGAACAATGCTTCTGTTTTTCAAATGGGCCTTGTTCTCTTAATATAAATGCATACTGACTCTCTCCGTTCATGGCTTCTGCCCCTTCGCTTTACTCACAGTTTGCTGATTTTCTCTTTTTCTAAACTTGAAGAATCCAAAGCGTGACTACTATTCCCCTGTTTTTCTCTAAGTGCTCTATCCTCGTGTCCTCTTTGCATGAAGACTGAGTCAAAAACTGGGCATACACAAGCAAGGAAGCAGAGACTACCCATGCTTTGGATTCTCAGACCCATACAACTGAAGAAGTCCAGTTTTTCACAGTCACACTGGTTTTTTAAAAAGGTAGTGGAAGCCAACAATCAGTGAAAGTAGGGAAGGCAATGTTTTAACCATAGGCCAAAATAACTAATTAGATATAAATGTTTGTCTATATTTAAATGAAGAACAAGTGAGGCAGACAGTAACATGTCCCATAGCAGAAAAGAGTGGGCACATGTGTCTCCAATGGTTGGTCAGGAGAGGATAATATCATGTATTCTTAGTCTGTAGCCCTTGTATTACAAGATATGGATCAGCACTATGACTTTCATGGGTGCAAGATTGAAATTCAAATCATGTCAGCATAATTTACTTTCATTGCTTTTTAATACCATTTTCCCTCCCACCTATTCTTCCAATCCTGCCTCTGAAAAAAGTATTTTTTGGCTGTTGAGCATGTTAGTCTAATTGTATTACTATAGTCCTGCCTAAATATTATAAAATATAGGTGAAAAAATTCAGTAGGGAGAAAGTAAATAGAATGTTCAAACTATTTTCATATTCCTTACTATTTAGTAAGTAGGACTGTGCAACACTTAGGGTTCAAAAGATAGAGGATGCATTGGAGCACACAGAGGCATCTAGTCATACCTCTCAACAACTCCTTAAAGCAACTGCTTCTTTTCCTAGAATGAGCGATTGCTTTTTGCAGTAGCAGAGCAATCCTGGAAAATACTGCATTTGTTTTAAAGAATTGCCAATAGATGCAATTCTTACATGTATTATGAAACATCTTTTCACCTTCAAATTGGAACTTTGTGTAGGCCCATTAGGAAAAAAAAAAGATTATTTTAACCTGTGTTCCTTATTATTTAGATTCCAAACTAACAAAAGGAAACACGATAAACATTTGTACTCCAGCAGCCATGTAATTAAAAGAACTATTGAAGCACTGTGTGGCAACATTTATCCAGGAAGTGTAACTTAACTTGCATAATATCATAGACAAATTTCACACAGCTATATCCATATTTACCTCCTTGTGGTTTCTTTTGAGACAGGCCAACTCCTCTTGGAGATTTTCAGCTTGTACCTGCAAGCTAGCTCGACTTGCATTCATTTCTTCTAGGGCCTTACGCAGCCCCCCAAGGTCTCCCTCCAAAGACAGGTGCATGGCTACCTCAGATTGCAGCCTACAAAAGGCAAAAGGGTCCTCAAAGCACATTTCTAGCTATGGTTCTTGATGGCTACATAACTGAGAACATCAAATGCTTGCTTCTCTAGTCACTGTTGAAGTCAAGGATCTAGGTCTCTTCAAGCAAAAAACAATGGTCGTACCCAGATCTCTTTTAGTTAATCTCTCTTGGCTAGAGTTCAGAAGGTATTAGATCTAGGGACAATTAAAGAGATAAAAAAGACTACATCTCATTGCCCAGTCTGAGCTTCTATCTCATGCTTTCTCTGTTTCCCAAGCTTAACGCATGCTTCCATTTTTGTAACTACTTCTTCACACCGTGCACTACAGAGGGTCATATATCTATAGGAAGAAAGCTATAGAATATATAAAGTCATCTTCAGTCCAATTTGTAATCAATCGTGGAAATCATATCTAGTTAGAGATACATAGAACATGCAGAAATCAAGATTTCCTAACAATTATAAATATAATGCCATATTTTTGGTTTGGATACTCAATTAATTAGCAGATCTCCAAAGCCAATACACAGAAAGAAAGGAAAAGGAAAAGGAAAACATTAGCTGAAATATATTAGCAATTTTTCTTAAACAGTCTCCAAAAATATTGAAGAATTGGACTGGAACAAACATTTATTTAAATAACTGAGTAGATTTACAAAATAAAGGTCTTGGAGTGATTTATATTTAATAGTAGACTGTCTGGTCATCATTTCAGAGATATTTCCTTACCAGATTCCTCAATACCAGCAACAATTTTAATATACTTGAAAAGTTCTTAAAAATACAAGGATATGTTCAGCGATGTATCTACCTTGAAATTAGCCCATATTGAACAATATAGCACAGTCAAGCACCAGAAGTTAACCATAGGGAAGGTTTTATCACATTTTGCATTATGTCATAAATGCTTTATAAAATTTGACAAGCTTCAGTTCCACACTAGTCATGGGTCCCAGATTCTGGATGCATTCTATAAATTAGTCCTTTTCAGTTAACTTGGATGAAAAAGTTTTGCCCTGTGATGCACCGTTTCACCCAGTTACAGTCAAGAGAGTTAAGTATCATAGAGATCTTGCAAGTCAGTCATGGGAAACTCAGGTCCACTATTTATGAATAAACCAGAATTAAATGGATACGAAGTCCCAAACATGACACTTAAGATCACCTGTGTGTTTATGCATACTCTATACCTGCCACTAGGCTTTACCTGATTTATGCATTTTAATCTCATAAACACACTTTTGTACATCTTCCCTTGGCATTATTTTTTTCTGAAAAATATATACAGTGCTGAATCCCAAGGGTAACTATATTGTGATCAACATATAAGAGAGGTGTGAAACTGGCTGATTTGCTTTCAAATGTAGACCAGAGTGAAATATGAGCATCCTTGCATAGAATTGTAATAAGTAGTTTGAGGGGGTCATTTTAATTTTAATTCTTTCCTGTTAGTGATAGCTTTTCAATAATCAAACTTTATTTAAGGGCACAACTAATCTATCACATTAATGTGCTGACCTCTAGTCTGTGAGTTGGTAGAAAAGTATGTCACAATCAATGATAAATGATAATTGAATAAGGAAAAAAAATCCTATCTAATTAGCATTTCACTTTTTTTTTCTACAGCATGTATAGACAGCAGCCCAGGCTTTGCTTGTTATCAGCTGTGAATAGCTGCTCACATGGAAGGGGGGAATAACCATGTTTTTACCTTGTACCTGTTTACCTAAATCGTTAAGAAATCATTTAATATTTTCATCATGTCAGGATGCCAAGAAATAAAGACACAGGTACATGGCTATTTTTTTTAAAAAAAGTTAGGAAACCTACTGTGAAACAAATTGGCTATGCGTGTGATGAAAAAGTAAATCTATTAACTAAACTTACTTCACCCTGAAATCATCAGCAGCAAGTTTGGCATTATCGATCTGTAAGAGCAGTCCAGCATTTTTCAAAGTCTCCTTTTGAATCTATGGGGGGTAAATTTCAAAACATTATCACAGAGAATACCATTTAGCAAGGAAATTGTTAAATAAGTGTACTAATTATCCAATTCTGATTAATGTCAGTGAAGGACTCCAGGATAACAGATGGGTGCAATACATGATTCCAGCTTGTTTTAATTTATTTAGGGTATGGTATCTATAGAGGTCATGCAATCACTCATGTACAACACTAATAAAACACATTATACGTACATATACAAACATAAGTTTAAGTAAAGTACTAGCAGATGAGACATTTAATGACTTTGTTGCAATGTTGAGAGAAATTGCAACCAATTGCAAATTCATTAGCCATGAAGAGGCAATGTGGCAATGAGAGATAGGCTCGTTTTGGGTTTGACACCTACACCTATAGAGCCATTTATTAGATAAGCCTGGCATCACATTCCAAGCCGCACTAGATGAAGCCAGGGCAACCATGTCCTTGCAAAAGAGGAGTTGCTCACGGAATTCACAGATGTCTTCAATGGGAGTCTAGGCAAGTACAGGGGAACCCCTATCTCTTTTAAGTTAGACCCCAAAATTACCCCTATTAAAATAAAGCCATGAAGTGTCCCTTTTGCTGTCCAGCCCAAAATTGATAGCCAATTAGACAAACTAATTGCCCAGAGAATTTTGGAGCCAGTTGTTCATGCAAAATGGGAGATACCCATTGCCACGCCAGTCAAAGCAGATGGTTCAATCCATATCTGCGTAGACTATAAATGCACAATCAACAAGGCATTTCAGCAGCATGCCAATCCCTTGCTGGTTGTACAGTATTTATTACATTCCCTAGGAAAGGGCAGAACTTTTGCAAAGCTTGATCTAGCCCAGGAGTATCAACAACTGCTGGTAGATGATGCCATCATAGAGGCACAAACCATTGTGACACACAGGGGGCATTTAAATGCCACAGGCTGCAATTTGATGTAAGTGTGGTGCCAGGACTTTTTCAAAGCTTAATGGAATGCTTCCTACAGGGCATTCCAGGGGTGGTACCATACTTGATGATATCCTTGTGTCTGTGAACAACAAAGAAGAACTAATCCATAGAATAGTCCTGAACTGATTTCAAAAAGCTGGACTCAAAGTTAAGAAAGAAAAATGCCAAATTGGGGTACCACAAGTCAAATTTCTGGGATTCATAGAGGAATGGGTTGCTATGTGCATGCCTTGCCAGGAATCCAGTCTGGTACCACCCACCGCACCTAGACATGAATGGGAAACCCCAAAGTCACCATGGTCATGGGTATACATTGATTTGGCAGGACCTGTACAGGGCAAACACTCCTTATAGTTGTAGATGTGTATTCCAAATGGCTTGGAGTAATAATCATGACCAACACAACAGCAGAAGTGGTCATCAAAGCTTTGCGGAGACTCTTCTCCACCTACAACCTACTGGACATTGTAATATCAGACAATGGGCCACAATTCACTGCAAAGCTATTTGAAACCTTTCCAGCAAAACAAAGAATCTGCCATGCTTTGTCTGCGCTATTCCATATGGCCACAAATAGTCAAGCACAGAGAATAGTCAACCAAAGAGATGCTTGCCTAGATGGGCCCAGGAGATTGGCAAGCTAAAATTGATAAGTTACTACTTGTTACTACACATAACCCCTAGCACCATCACAAATTGCTAATGGGCTGCAAACTAAGATTGCAACTGGACAGGTTACACCCAAATTACAATGCAGAGGTACCCACTGATTCAACCAGCCAATGCCAGTCATTTGGCATAGGGGATTTAGTCTGTGCCCGCAATTATACCAGTGATGCCGCCTGAGTACAAGCCAAAATAATCAATGTTACAGGTCCCCGATCATACCGAGTAGAATTAGAGAACAGTAAGATCTGGAGGAGGCATGTTGATCAACTCTGGGGACAATTAGGACACTCTGTCCTAAGACAATCAGAAGAACTGTCTCTAATAACTAAAAGCCCTGCAAAGTCAGAAAACCAGTATGAAATTACATCTACACTAAACTCAAGCCCAAATCTTCAATGCACCCACCCACCTGAAGAACCAGGAGTCCAGAATTGAGTCTCCGAGAAGCCAGGTCTGGAGGTGTCAGCCACACCCTGAGAGAACTTCCAGGCATTTCCATTGCCTGACTCCGGAGCAGCAGCAGATCTGACCGCTCAGGCCGCCACCACTGAACAGACTGAGCTGCGGAGGTCAGGTTGCAACTACCATAGCCCCACCTACCTGTGTGACTACATCAAGTAAACTTCACAGATTGGGTAATGCTCATTCCAAGAGAGGAGGGATGTTGAATATTCAATGAGGAGTGAAGTCTGGAACAAAGACTTCACTCCAGTCCACCTTCTTGGCAGAAAAAGAATTATTTTAAAATCATTGGTTCATTTTCCAGGTGAGAAAATGAAGTAATCTCTTTTAAAAGAGGGAGCTATCAGATAGGCACTTCACTTCTATGTACTGGTCTACTCAATAAAGAGCTGTTAGTCACTAGCTGGAGTTCTGCATCTTCAATCAACCCAACTTAACAGACATCATCTTGATCTCTTCCTCAAAAACAAAATATTTCAAGACAGTCCTGTTTCAGGTCACTAATACATCCTGTGTCTAAGTATATTTTCCCTAACAGGAAAAAAGAAAAAACCATTTCAATGTAATACCTGGGATTTCAGCTGGGTCATGGTATTGAAATAGGCACTCATATCAGGGGTACCAGTTGATGCTCGTTTTGTGTAGAATTCTTGGATGTTCTCCTCCAGTTGCATGTTAGATTTCTCAAGGGACATCACCTTGTTTTAAGGAAAAGAAAATGAAAGAGAATTTGAATATCAGAATAAAGAATAGCTTGCAGAATCCTAAAATCTCTAGATGTGCTTTAGCTATTTGACTTTAAGTATCATCAAAAGCAGGGCTGGGATTCAAATTTCTTAACAATGGGTTCTGTGGGCATGGCCTAATTTGTGGACATGGTTTGGTGGTCATGTGACCAGGTGGGATGTTGCTTGGTGGTCACATGACCGGTTGGGTGTGGCTTAGTGGTCATGTGACTGGGCATGGCCAACTCAAAGTCACTCACATGGAGGGGCACCTCGCCTGGCTTTTCCTCACCCCTCCCCCCCATCCAGTCCTCACTTCATCTTTCATGTTATGGTGAGAGAGGAAGCTTTTTCAAAGTCATCTTCCCCTTGATACTAGCCAATAAGGTGAGATTTTGCTATCCAAAGATCTGATGGACATTTCCAAATATTGTTTATCACCATTCTCTTGGAAAGACTGGATGGAGAGATTTATAAAGAATAACAGAGTTGGAAGAGACCTTGGTGGTTTTTTAGTCCAACCCCTGCTGAAGCATGAGACCCTATACTATTATGGACAAATTTCTTCTTTAAAAACCTCCAGCGATGGTATATCCACAATTTCTGAAGGCATCCCATTTCTCTGATTAATTGTTCTCACTGTCAGGAAATTTCTTCTTGTTTCTAGGTTGGATCTGTTTGATAAGTTTCCATCTCACAGTTACTTCCAATTGAGCCAGGCACCACCTATTCTATACATTTTTTCTTGCCTGTGTAAAATCTTATTTTATTCTCCATTAAATATTTTAATTGTTCTACAGTGGTATTCAGTTTACTACAATGATTTTTGCAAAATGCATTAAAGCTTGAAGAATACATCTCTGCTTATACTGATAAAGATTATTCTTTTTGAACATTAAAGCATACAGTCAAGCAAATGTTTCCAATCCTACAATTGAAAACACATTTGAAAGGTATTTTCAAAGTAGTCAGCTAGTGGATGTCTTTCTCTTCTCCTTTATTTAATCTTTCTGCTTTATATATTTTTTCCTTTGGCCTTATTGCAATATTCCAAAATTTTCACAGATCCTTCACAAAGAACCATTTCTAATTTAACTGGAATACAAAACAATCTTTCTGGTCTGGAATTCCTTGACTCACATCACACACCTCAGCTCCTCAACACTTCTCAATGTTTTCCTTTCCTTTCTGTTATGTACAGAAATGTGCTTCTCTTTTACTGCTCTTTTCAAATTAACCCTCCCCAGATGCCTACACCTGCATTTAATTAAAGTAAACTCAAAAGACAATATTTCTTTCCTAAGTTGTCAAAATGGAAAGTGCTCCAAAGAGAGGGTGATATTAGCAATTCATAAACATAATTATCTTGCTCTTAGAAAAGATGGGGATTTAATGAACTATTTAAGCAATGCATGATAAACTGCATAGCACCAAAAGGCAGATGAGTTGCTCATTGAGACCAACAGTGATACAAGCAAAAATCAGTCTTGTTAGGAAAGGCTGTCTAATAAAAATGTACCCAGGTCTTCTCTTATTATAAAATCATCCTGTACAGCTGTGGAACTTCCTCCCCTCCCTCTTTTGGGAAGATTTACAAACAACTTCCAGCCAGGTTCGCCCTGCAGCCTCACCCATCCCCACTGGCAGTTCTTGCCTGGGCAGCAGTTTGGCTTTACCTTGCCCAACCTTCCTCCCGTGGCTGGTGGCAGAGAGGAAGGCCAGCCCCTAAGCTCCAGCAATGCCCTATGTGCAGAGTCCCCATCTGGGGCTCTCCATACCTAGGGGTGTGGCAAGGATGGCGGTGGCATGCTCCAGTTCTTTTCATCAGCGAGAGGGGCTGCAGAGAAGGCAAGCGGTGGTGGTGCATCCCAGAACTTCCCAGCAGTGGGGAGTTTTCTTGGGTGGCTTTGGTAGTGGCAGCTGCTGTAGCAAAAAGCAAAAGGCAAGCGTGGGAGGGGGAGGCGAGCAGCGGGGGTGGCAGTGTGTTCTGGAACTGCGCCGGCAGTGGGTAATTTCCTTGGGCAGCTTCAGCAGCAGCGGAGCACACCAGGGTGGCAATGGTGGGGTGTTTCCCTGGGAGGGGCATTCCCCAGGCCGGATCCAGCCACGTCAGCACCAGGGGGAGAAGGAGAACATTCCCTTCTCTCCCAGCCAGCACACCACCATCATGGCCCCGCGGCAGCTTCTTCATGACCAGGGGGGAAAGGAGAACATTCTCCCAGCCAACACCACCTTGGCCATGCGGTGCGGGGGACAGCTAGCTAGCTAGGTCACAGTGACACAATCCAGGCAAGCCCAGGGGGACAGCACAGCAGCCTAGGCTGACCCAGGAGTCGACTCGACCAGGGCTTGCTTGTAGGCTTACTCACTCAAGGAGATCAGGGCTGCAGTGGAAGGCAGGCAGCAATGGTGGGCAAAGGTTAGCAAAGGTTAGCAATGGTGGGTGAGATGAGGAATAACTGGGCAGGGCAGGGCAGGGCAAGTGGGCGGGCAGGAAGGGGCGTGGCCCAGCCAATAACATGACCACCAAGCCACGCCTACCAACTAAGTCATGCCCACAGAACTGGTTGTTAAAAAAATTGAATCCCACCCCTGAAAGATGGAATTAAGGGGAGAAGAAAATCAGCCCCTTCTTCCTCCTGCAATTTTCTTTCCTTGATCACACCTTTAACTGACTATAAGGAGGCTTTATTTTCCCCCAGCAATGGCTGAGTAATGCCATTGGAAATCCTCAGTGGGGAAATGGCTTTACTCAGGTTGATAAGAATACAGAGTACAGAGAGGGAGGGAAAAAGTAAGAGAAAGAGACCTTAATCCTACACTTATCTATTGATCAATCCTAGGTTGGTTCCAGTTTGAAATTTGGATGTAAAAAGAATGATAATGAGATTACTTTGTCCTTTTAAAAATCAAACATGATTCCATGTTCGCATATTGAGATAGTGGATTGTAATTTAGTCAGTTGTTTCTGCACTGGAGGATTAATTATACTTCAAAATCCTCTATTTTTCTCTGTTAAACATTCTGGGTTAATTATTGCCTCTTCTAAAACCATGTTTAGATTATAGCTCTTAAAGAGGCTCATAAATTGAGAAAAATGTCAAGAGATAGTGACAGAAGTTGTTAGAAGAGTAAAACAAGAGATTCTAATTCATGTAGACATAGAATATCATCTCTATGGTGAGAAGACAATTCCATCTTGGGTGTTGTCATGCTAATGACACATTGCATCAAAATGCAATCAAATAATGTTTCTGTGATAGCAAACACATGGAGTTCAGGGGAAACTATACCTTGCATACCCCACTTCTATCTCAAAAAAAGATGGTGTACCAGGCCATTTAAAACAGCAATGACTGACCATTGCAAATAACTACAATTATTGCAAATAACCTACAATTAATCATTTCCTTGCTAACTTCTAAATTGTTTGAATTCAGTGTCTCACTTATAACTTTCTGCAATATAAAGCAAAGAAAATAAATCTTACATAACTAAAGAATTTTACCACAAAAATCAGTGAAACACAAACCATAATCACTTATAGAAATGTATTTATTTATTGTTAGTCCATAAGCTCAAATAATTATCACTGTGCTGTGTTCTAGAGTACTCTATTTCACACAAGATGAGGTTTTCTAATGGAAGGTAGAAGGTTTGATTTTGACGGCAGATGTATGGGGGATGTTGCCTTAGAGCACCATGAAATATGATTTTACTGTTAATACTCCTATCTTCTTTTTGTGTTTATTTTTTATGTTGTGAGCTTCCCAGGGTTTTATGCCCCCAATCTCATATAAAAACAAAGTTTATTCAATAAATAAAACCATTAAATAAAGCAGATCAGAATGCTTCAAGAAAAAAAGATCTCCCATAGCCTGCCGGGGTCCCATTGTAGATCAGGTACTTTGAATTTTGTTTTGAAGTATACTACTAAATAAAGTGCATTCAAAGAATCTTGACCCTTACTCAGCTTTGCAAAACTAATCTTTGGGTATTCACTGGTGTGCTTGAACAGATAAAACACCCATGACAGAAACAAAGAAAAATTCTTGGCTTTAACTCTATTCTTTTCTTCTTCTTATCCTCTCAAATCATGCTCTTCCATAATTTTCTAACAAACATTGTTTTTCTTGAGTAGAGGAAGGGATATGAACTAATAATTTATCTAAACATTTATCAACATCTTTCCTTTAGCACTGAATAATTGGATATAACAACGTGAATCTTTCTTCCAGAAAAAAATGGTAAAAGGTTTGTCACTTAGCATCTTCCTTCTCAAGTAGCAGTCTTATATTCTTCCATATTCCACAAAAACAGAGGTAGATATACCTTTATAGTATTACTTTTTCTTTGACATTGCCATTAGGAAAACATTATCTGATTACTTACTTTGTCTAGGTAGGCAGCCAGACGGTCATTCAGATTTTTCATGGTGCCCTTTTTATTCATGTCCAGAATATTTGTGTCCATAAATGCTAGCCCATCACCACATGACAGTCCAGCCATGTCCCCAACAACCCTGTGGATACTTGGCACTGCCTGAGACCTGCCCAAGGCAAGCAGATGTCTTCCCCTGGGTCCCTGCATGCTTCCAGATGACATGCTGTGGCTGGAAAATGTAGTAGGCATGGTTTCACCTGCAGAAGCAGTGTAAAACAGAAGAGTAAAAGCAAAGTAAATCTTTGAGAGTCTCCTTATATAGGCAAGTTAAGGGCAAAACTAATCTTTAGCCTTCCCCTTACTGGATTGTCTGGTTATACCTCATAATAACATGAAGAAAAGTTTGTTTTGGAAACCAAGCCCAAGGTCGTCCCCTCCTGCCCAAATCCTTGAGGCTAGTTTGCAGTGCCACTGCAAAATTCTGTGATCAGATCTCAGTCCATCTCATCAAAATATCACCAGATTGAATGCTCACATTAACCTTACAGTTCCCAAGCCAAATAAGTACAATGATTCAAAAGATAATGGAAGGAAAATAAATGGTTCAAATAGGTTGGGAATGATTCCATAAAAATGGAAGAGGTTTAGTAAGAAATCCAGGGGGAGGGGAGGTGTTTCATGTGAGCCCTTGTTGTGGAATTGCTATGATTCAGTCATTCACATTTTATGGAGGAACCACATGATACTGGCATGCATCTGTAGTACTCCCACATTTTCTCATTACTGCTTCTACAGTTTCCTTACTAGAGTATATTCTGCCTTTTTCAGAACTAATAATCTTTACAAGTATACTTGGCCTTAATAGTGCTTTTCCAATGTTCCTAATGTAGGCTAGTTTAAATTCTTAAATTATTGTGCCTGCATTTTAATCTTTCCTTTTGGGGGGGGGGAGATTTTTCGAGTACTCCTGTAGTCCTAATTAACCAATTTTCTTTCTCCTTCTCTCCCATATATATGTGAAACATATTGAATTAATGGCCTGGCAATCTATTTTAATGCACGGAAATACTACATATGGCATTGGTCCTTAAAAGCTATTATGTAAACATCATTTCTAAATTCTATGAAAAAAAATTACCATCATGGTGAACATTTTTGATGATCTTCCATTCCTGTTCGTGTTGAAAGCACCAAAGGCACTTCCAGATTGAAAAGATTAGTCACTAACATCACGGTTGCCCAGGGGATGCCCAGTTGGTGGTTTCTTTTATGACCCCATAAATGTGCCCAACAAAATGGTACCTATCAATTTTCTCACGATTACTTGCTTTCAGGTGGGCAGAAGCTGGAGTGAAAGTCAGTGAATCCCAGTGTGATGGGAGAGTGTAGCTTCCATTGAGCAGACTAATAACAGAATAACAGGGTGAAAAGGCAGAGGAGAATCCATTAAAATGCCCATGAAATTCAAATGGTATTTTACACATATATAAAATAATAATATAGACATGTTTTTGTTTACATTGACTCCAAAGTCTGCTATACCACAGACTATTAAATGATGGGTTTATTACATTTTATTGTCCCAATTTTTTGATAAGAATTAAGTTTCTATTGTTCAAAGCATTAGAGGCAAATATAAGACACCTATAGTAAACCTCCACCTTGAGACATTTTTTGTTAAATGAGTTCTAGGGATCATGATTCCCATTCAGCTATGCCTATAAAACAATCAGATTTATTATCAGTTCAATGTACTGTATGAGGCAGTAAGACATATAATAATCACTTGTATGGAACAAAATCCACAGAGAACTGTCTATGAGTTTCAGTAATACTTGAATTTAATAATACATTCTTCATCATACCTTAGATGACTTAATGTTGGAATGTATAATAAAGGAATACCTTAAAACATGTTTCAAATTGTATTTACTAAATTAAATATACTTTTTCTCCAATATTACAGAGATATTGCTATACCTTTTGAATTAAATTCAGAATTTTGTGAAAATTGTCTTTGGATATGCTTGGTTTAAAAATTAGAAGAAAAATGATTAACAAGGTGACATTACATGAAATATGTGGATATTCCAGTAAGTAAGTCATGGGGATTAATGCAACAGGGGAAACTTCTAGAAACAAAAGCAAAAGAATGTAAAATCTTCAAATGCCTGGAATTTTCCATGGCTTTTTCCCCAATACATTGTATTTTACAAGCAAAAGAATTGAGGTGGAAAATCCCTAGTAATACATTAATAGTTTCAACAAGAGATTCCAAAGTAAATCTCTGAAAATACATTTTGGCTTACAATGAAATATAAGACTTTGGTCAATACAACAATCACCATCTGAGGCTTACAGACTAAAAGCAAGGTAGTAAATTGCAGTGAGATTTGGTGACTCAAAACCCAGCTGCTATTATTATAGTGTGTCACACATACTTCTGCTTTCCACATTATTTATGGCATGCTTTAAGATAGATGTGTGGGAAGGAAAATGGCTGTCCTACATTGTGATGTGCCATGTGTCAGAAAGGCAGCTAGGTTATGGATGACCCTCATGGGGAAAAAAGTAGGCTGTACATGTGAAGTGGAAATAGGATAAGGAATAGCAACAGCAGCTTAAAGTGAAACAGCCATGAAAGAGAGGACCCTCAAAGATTTTGGGCACAGGTAAGCTTGCTGTCACTAAGAAAGTGAGCCATACATTGGAGCCAGAAAAAAACTTAGCTACCTGCGCCTTGTTTTTTTTTTTTTTATATAGGATCCTCATTCATTCCTGGTCTGCTATAACCCTTCAAAACAGATAGCTAGATAGACAAGTATGGCTTTGCTGGCTTAGAGAAAATATATATATTCTCTCCGCTCTACCAGGCTACATAGAAAGCAAAGGTGTCCATGATGAAAAAGTCCTGAGAACTCATTATTTACAATTTCATAGTATTGCCAGTTTTAATTTTGGAATTTTATTTTTTGTTATGTGCTAGGTCATTGTACAGATTATGGGGAGAGGAAGGAGAGAGGGATGACAAGCCAACTGAGAGGATCCATTTCAGATAATAGAATGAATGTTTCCATTGAATAGGATTTGTAATCCCTTTATGATGAAAACAATTCAAATTAACATCATAATTTGATGGTATTACACGTTCCTTATTCTCCTTCTCTTGATTTCTTAAAATTTGCATTGTTCCTTCCTTCTTGGTTTATAGTATCATGTACAGTACTATCTTTTTCCTGATAAAGGCCAATGGTGTTTAAATAGTTGCCTGATTGACAAACATTCTTTGTGCAGAATGGACAATGGGCCCCAATTCACAGCAACACACTTTGAACTCTTCCTAGCCAAACTAGGGATCAGGCATGCCTTGATTGCTCCATTCAGTCTGTCCGCAAATGGTCAAGCAGAGAGAATGGTGTGATCAACAAAAGAAGCCCTAGCTAGAATGGGCCCAGGGGACTGGCAAACAAAAATCAACAAGTTCCTTTTGGCACAGCATATCATTCCTAGTGCCACCACACACAGAAGCCCAGCAGAGTTACATATGGGTTGCAAACTAAGATTTCAATTGGATAGGTTACACCCAAATTACAATGCAGAGGTACCCACTAATTCAACAAGCCAACACTGGTCATTTGGCGTAGCGGATTTAATCTATGCCTGAAACTATACAGGAGGGGCTGTCTGGGTACTGGCCAAAATAATCAATATTACAGGTCCCTGATCATACCAAGTAGAATTAGAGGATGGTAAGATCTGGAGGAGACACATTGACCAACTCCAGGGATGATTTGGACACTGTGTACTAAGACAACCAGAAGAAGAATTGTCCCTAACAACTAAAAGCTATACAAACCTAGAAAACCAGTATGGAATTACACCTACACTAAGCTCAAACCCAATCCATCAATGCACACACACACCTGAGGAACCAGGAGTCTAACGACAAGTATCAGAGACCCTGGTTCTGGAGGAGTCAGCCATGCCCCAAGAGAACTTCCAGGAGTTTCCATTGGCTGACTCCGAAGCAACAGAAGGCCTGACTGCTTAGACCATCACTGCCAAACTAACTGAGCTGTGCAGGTCAGGTTGCCTACCTGTGTGACTATGTGCAGTAAATCTTGCTGATTGGGTAATGCTCTTTCCAAGAGGGGAGGGGTGTTGAATATTCAATGCGGAGTGAAATCTTGGAACAAAGACTTCACTCCAGGCTACCTTCTTGGTGGGCAAACAAGTAGTTTAAAATCATTGGTTTCTTTTCCAGGTGGAAAAATGAAAGAACCTCAGTGGCTGAGTTGCCTGACAGATCCCTTTAAAAGAGGGAGCTGTCGGACTGCACTTTGTTGTATTGGTCTATTAATAAAGAGCTGAAGTCACTACATCTGAAGTCCTGCCTCTTCATTCAACACCATACCTAACACCAAGTAACTTGACTTTTTAGAACACACTATTCAATGAAAAAAACCAAAGTTTACCAAGACTGGTGTATTGTTGTGAGTCCATGTATTAAAGTCTCTACATGATCTTATTAAAATATGTGAAAACAGCCATATTGTGCATATTAGGCAGATTTGTTGAATCTTGTCCTAACTAATCAGATTTCCACAATTCACTTGCAAACCCTAAGTGTAGTTTTCAAGAAAACCTGCTTTTATTGGGAAGGCTAATTTAAAGGACTCTTCCATTTAGCTGCCCAAGATAAAGTTCTAAACAGAAAATGGCTTCCTAGCATAGAGCTGGATAACATGTGGTACTTTCAATATTGCAGAACTTAAATTCCCAACAGCCCCAACCAAAGGTAACAATGACACAACCTTATAATTCAGCAAAATTTAAATAGCCATTTTTTTTATTTGTCTGCTTACATGATTTTTTTTGTATTTTTTGTATTGGGAATTTAGCCAAACTGTTATTATTAATATAGAAACTAAAGATATCCTCCTCCTGAACTGCTAAAAATAACTGGGATTTTATCACTGAATACAATGAAAATTGAGAACTCCAACCAAATTATGCCAAAAGGTATAAGAGTATCAATGTCAAGAGCTTGAAAAGAAACAAATTGAATTTCCATTATAGAAATGCCTGAGCCATTCTTTATAACTAAGTCATTTCTAAATGATTGCTATAATTAGAAGGAAAGGCCTTCTAATTACCAATGTTGAAAAAGAAGAATCTCAAAGAAAACCAGGCTAGAAGGAATATTTTACTATATGCTGTGTAGAAGGGATGGGTAAGATGCAAGGGGA